AGTTTTTGAGCCATATAGAAGAACTGTCTGACGTAACAGTGGTACTAAAATTCCGAATTTTGTGCATATATGTGTATATATAGTATTCATACTGTCTAGAAGTTAAGTGTAATGATACTCCAATGAATAGGTATTAATCTTAAAGAAGGAAAGGATAGTCATGGGAAAATGCTCTAAATTTCGGGGATAATAATTATTGTGAGTTGTGTCACTGGAAGTCTTTAACTGTGAATTTTTACTTCCAGGAGAACCTTAGCCAAATAGTTTTCACTATATACGTGGGTTGGACTAAAAGTCAGGGAATTCACAGGATGGTGTCGAATCTCAGTGATCACTTCTCACCGTTTTCCAAATTGACACCTTAAGGTAATTGCACCAAGTTGCTTTTGAGCGACCACAATCGTTTTCGATAACTTCTTCCTCGAGTTCTACAGTCATAAATCCATGAATAATAACATGATACAAATAGTCAGTAATTATTATTATTACTATTTCTTTTAGTTCGTAGAAGAACATAGGGCTTCAGCCGCCCATCTCCATTGACTTCGGTTCTCTGCCAACTTTCTCACCTGCCTCTACGTCTACCCACATGCTTTCATCTCCTCTTCACATGACCTCCTCCATGTCACCCTTGGACGACCAACTCGCCGATTCCCGTTCGGGTTTCACTCGAGCGATAGCCTGGTTAGTGATGTCACTTGATGGTTTATTTTCTCAGATTATGGCCAATCCAACTCCATTTTTTCCTGCTTATTTGTTGCACAGTCGGTTCCTGTTTGGTTCGCTCCCAGAAATCTCTGTTGCTGATCTTTTCTGACCGACCATCTGATCTTGCGTATTGAGCAAAGATAGCTATTGATAAAGGTCTGTAGTTTATTCGAAGTGCTCTTCATGAGGCACCAAGTCTCTGATCCGTATAACAAGTAGTTTTGACTTCACATTGGAGTTGAAAATCTGGATCTAATTTTTTAATGCTGAGTACTGTTTATCTCCACACAGACTTGAGAGAAATGAAAGCTTGCCTTGCTTTTCCGATCCTCGCTGCTTTGATATCCTCATCAGTCCCGTCTACATGTAGTTGAAACGACGCTTCCATGTGTAGTCATTTAGAACAAGATAAAATGCGAATAGACAGTTGTGTGACATATTTATTTATAGTCAACAGAATACAAGTTTCTTTGGAGTTTGAGGTGGAGGGTGAGTTTTATTCAATGGTGTGCGAGGAAAATGATTACCACAAAATGCATACAAACAAATACCAACAAATGGGGAACACTGGATGGTAAGTTCAAGCAAGGGCTGATAGATATCAAGTGTACTGAGAGGTTAAATTGTAAGCTGTAATCAAATACTATAGCCATGATAAGTCAATTTTATTGCTTCACGTTCCCATTGGAACATTGGGCTTCAAGCTATAGGCTAGAAGTTTCGGTAGAAGTGGTGTTTATTTTTACGGGGTGAGGTTGCTAGCCTCATGCCCAACCCCCCCACCTCTTTACCAGTCTTATTAATGGCTTAACGAGGTAAGGGAATGCATCCCGGACCATCTGAGTGGTGGGCGACCATTCTACCTCTGTGCCACCGATTCCGTGAAGTGAACTTGGTGAATAGGAATAAGAAAGGCATAATATGACATGCAAATATGAGATAATTATGTCCCTGAAGACCTTATGATAGACCAGAGTAAACAAAGAGGATGAGTGTGCCTTCTGTTTAGACACACATATGTTGCATTTTTTATTAATATCTACAGCTCCAGCTATAGCTAGGAAACATAGTTGTGTGCCTTCAGGCAGATTGTTTAGTACTCGATACACAACTCCAAATGACTCATCTGTTTTGCTGTGGTGTACAATACCCACTAGATGAGGTGAAATGACACTACTTATTGATTTAGTTTACGCTTTTTCCAAGTCAAACAAGAAGATGTTCACGAGAGCATAAATGTAAGTTCCTCCTGTGAGTTCGACCTATAAAACTATGAGGTCACCATGTAACTAGAAGGTTCTGGGATCGAACTCCTGTGGTTGTGTGCGTACTGCTAATCAGTCCCGAACTAGGAGAAACCTCTGGTCAGTACGTCCCGGTGATTTTCAGATACCAATCCGTGATCAAATTTGAAATGAATCAAACCCCTACAAACAAACTTTTGAAACTTATTATTTTGATCGACTTTCTGGGTAGTTAGGCCTCCAAAGCCTCAGGATGGTCGGGGGTGGGTACCTTGCGCTGCGGGTTAGCCACCCCTCCGCACACCTCTTGAAATGCTCCCATATGACCGGGTGTCTTACATAGCCTCTCCTGAGGAAGTCCTACTCACTGCCTTCACGTGGCGGAGGTGTTTTTCACCAAAGTGAGAGGGCGAAAGCGGATGCCCGGCGCTCTTCATCGGGTTGACTGTCCATTGGATGACAGTCTAGGGGAGATGGCTAAACCCTGGTTCCGAACCTCCAACGACTGGCGTATGAAGCCCACTGGAATTCACCGGCAGACGTATGGACAAAGGGCTTGTTGGATGTCCTGGATGTCTGGCCCCATTCAAAAAGGCGTATGAACCGAACTCCGGTCAGCGGCTGCCAATGGATAGTGGACTCCCTACTCCACTCCTACTGCCTTGTAGGTCACACTTGGTTGTGTAAAAGCTAGAGCTGCACTCTCAAACAAAAGGCCGAGCGATTCTGGGGACATCACTCGTACCAAATTCCCATGAAACTTCATGAACTCTCTTACAGGGGCTACAAACCGTCTACTGACTCCGTCTGTGGAACAAGAATTGGATAACCCTGTCGCAAAACCTTGCATCAGATCGCCGCGCCTGGGCAGCGATGATTCGAGATGTTCATGAAGCCGGCTCATCCTCCCGTAGGAGACAGCCGCAGTAAAGTAAGTAAGTAGTTAAACAGTTGTTTGAGCCGAAATAATCTATCAGTATTAAAATTGATTCACTTAAACTTCATCATCAAGCCTATCATTACTTAGATTTTGAGTGCAAACTTTTAAATAATTGGAATTCCTTCGTATCTCGCTTATTGTCAAGACGAATTCACTGGATAATCTTTGGCGGTATGTTAGCCAGACTCTTCGACGTCATAGTTGTCAGGCACTGATTTATAAATTTTTATGACTTTTCATTTTGTTATCCCTAAGGAATACAAACATACTGATAGTGAGCTTTTGTTGTTGAAAAACAGTATAAATTCTTAGGAATTTTTAGTGGCATTATAGAATGTCATTAGCACACATGTTCACGAGTGCATAAACATAAGTTCCTCCTCTGGTGATGCTTAGCTGTTAAGGGAATGCCGAGAAAATACATTGCACTGATCAAGGCACTCTACTCGAACTCATGCAGCCAGGTGAGGGCTTATGGCGAGTTGTCATCCGAAGTGGTGACAACTAGTGGTGTCCGTCAGGGATGCCCATTATCCCCATTTCTATTCAATTTCATCATAGATGTACTAATGGACTTAACCCTAACTCACTTCAGAGACTCAGGGATCGACTTGCTACCAGGGAATAATCTCGTTGACTTAGAATATGCAGACGATATAGTCCTTCTAGGCGAGGACGCTGACAAAATGCAGAGTCTTCTGAACATCTTGAGCTGCAATCTACGAATGTTTGGCATGCGATTCGCTCCCGCCAAATGTAAGATGATATTACAGGACTGGACTACACTGACTCCTAGTTTAGAAATAGGGAGTGAAGTGGTAGAGCACGTTGACCGCTTCACTTATTTGGGAAGTATCATCAGCCCCAACGGGTTGATCTCTGATGAAATCTCGGCACGAGTACAGAAGGCTAGATTCGCATTAGCCACTTTACGCCGTCTCTGGCGTAGACGTGATATCCGACTATCGACCAAAGGGCGTGTGTACTGCTCATCAGTCCGCTCCGTCCTCCTTTATGGCTAGCTGTGAGACCTGGCCATTGAGAGTGGAAGACATGAAAGGATTAGCTGTCTTTGATCATAGGTGTCTGCGTTCTATCTCGCGCGTGAAGTGGTATAATAATGTGAGCAATATTGAGGTTAGGCGTTGAGTGCTAGGTAAGGAGGGGAAATCAGTCGACGAGACTGTGAAATTACATCAACTGAGATGGTTAGGACATGTGTTACGTATGTCTAGCCATCGCCTTCCTCAACGGGCTATGTTAGCTGACATAGGGTTGATCAGGCTGGAAAAGAGCTAGTGGCGGTCAAACGAAAACATGGCACCAGTCAATGAAATCTACAACAGTTAGTTTAAGCCACGTAGGAAGGTGTAGACTTCCTGACTGGTTGGGGTCCTCGGGAAGGTAAAAACCAATGGTTGGAAACAATTGGTGATATGGCTCAAAATCGTTCTCAGTGGATGGTGCAGATGCATTCACTACTTTTGACTTATAGTATCCAATTAAACTATATTGTTCTTCGTTATTACTATTCCTTTGTCTCACACCTCTGTTCACTGTCTATTTTATGCATTTCTCCTACTTTCTTCTCTTGCTTTGTGAGCTACATGGAGTGTGGCGACTTGAACTACCGCACAAATGTGCATAGTTCTATGTCGAAAACAGACAACAGACAGACAGACAGAAGTTCCTCCTCTGAGTTTGACCTATAAAACTAGCTCCACAGGAACAGTGAAATGTGTAAACACGCACATTGATGCGACCATCTGTGTCAGTAGTATCGGTCTGGTTGAGTACCTTGACGTGTAGTTCTGTAGCACTGGCAGTTCTTACAATTGATATGATCAATCTACAGCTTTAATATATCATCGTTAAACTGTACTCTTAATTAATTGAATGAAGTTAATGTATAATTGGATAGTGAAGGGTGGATATGCTTAACAACAACACATGGACGTTTATTTTTTCATATTTTCCTTTCAGATGTGTGTGTACTATCTGCTAAGATAAAATATATAACTTGGCTGCCATATATGATGCTTTGTTACTGATATATATCTATGTGTCACTAGACAATTATATAACAACTACCACTTCTACTACCACTCATGGAAAAAGGTGTAAATTTCCTGTTTGGTAAAAAAGGTATTTTTAAATTTTTTAATTCATTTCCTTGTCATCTATCTATGTGTATATTAGATCAATCATCTAATGAAAGAAACACGATGAGTACAGTAGTAGCATGTCAAAAAGGTTAGTGATTCATTTCAAATAAAAGAAGAGATTAACCCTGCCCCCCCCCTCCGTGTTAAATTTAGTCACTGAATCCACATCAAGCATGCTGATATCACTTGCCAATCAACCGTCATTAGCATATTTTCATATTCAAGAGCATATAAGAAAGTCAACACCGGAGATTTTACGACATCAGGTAAGTGAGATTCTCAGGTCTGTTGTGGTTTTTTCATCTAATGAGAATATATGTATATGTGTGTTGTACAGTAATATATTAACTGATGACTACCTTTCGAGCACAAACTATTGCCACTCATAATCATATCAAGTTACTCAGTCACACAACTTTTTTCCTTCATTTATATACATGTGTGGAACTGACTAGATATTTGAATAAAAATCAATATAGGCTAAAAGACCCGGTGGAGTCAATTAAACAAAATAATATAATTTACAAAATACCTCGCAATGACTGTGAGTGAGGTCAGCTCTACATAGGTCAAACTAGTAGATCGGGCGGGGGTAATCAGATTGTGGGAACATAAGAATTTAGCTAAGGTAAGAATGGTTGACCCCGAGAAGATAAGTAATTTAGAAAAAAGCTCAGCACTACATTGCACTTCACGCATTAACACACAACCACACAATAGGGTGGCATAGGGTTAAAATTCTAAAGAGTAACATAGGTAGGTGGTGAAAGAGGTTGATTACGGAATCCTTGTTCATTGAGTCTTCACCCAACACAACACATGCAACAGAAATGACTCAATGCAAATACCAGAAATATGGAAGATATTATTACCACCAGTCAGTCAAATCAGAGGAGGATAATAAATAATCTCAAAATTCTATTTCAATTCAAACACATCACAACATTCTAACAAGTTATTTATTTATTTTGACTATAAAAACAGTCGTCTTATTTCCCATCTGATTGTAATTGATCAATAACACTCATATTATTATTATTTCTGAATGTACATTACCATCTTATATTGAATTTTATTCAAATATCTAATCATCAATTCCACTCATGTATATAAATGAAGGAAAAAGTTGTGTGTGAGTAGTTTCTTGATATGATTATGAGCGGTAACAGTTTGTGCTCGAAGGGTGGTCATCAGTTAATATTACTGTATAACACCACTGTGTGATTTATCAAAATAAAATCTTATCCATAATGGAGTTATACTCTACCACCACAGTGCCCAAGTTTTATACTTTTATATATTTTATTTTTCTAGTCAAAAGTTGAACACTTGAACTCACAAATCCGTGGATGTTGTTACGATCTTGACTATGCTCTTGAGTAAGTTTTGCGTAATCAAGTATTTTTTGTTAATACATGAAATTTGGAATAGTTTGAGGTAGAATTTTAATTCGTCCCGACTATATTTTAAAGCTTTTTTTAAGGCATTTATAAATGCGTCGGTGGCATAGCAGTAGAGTACTTGCCAACCACACAGGCGGTTCGGGGTTCGATCCACGGTCGCCAATGCACTCCTTTACCTTGCTAAGTCAGTAGTAAGACTGGTAAAGAGGTGGGGGAGGGTTGAGCATGAGGCTAGCAACCTCATCACGCAAAAAATAAATACCACTGCTACTGAAACTTCAAGCCTCTAGCTTGAAGCCCAATGTTCCACTAGGAACATAAAGGAATAAAAAAACAACGCATTCATAAGGTTTAGGTCAAATCATATCTTAGGGTAAATCATGTGTTGGTGCTTAAAACGATAGATTTTCTATGGGTTAAAAGTCTCCTTCAGTTAGAATGCACAGGTAATATAGTCCTCTTAGATGAGGACATAATGACTTCTGAGTGACTGAGTTTTAACATAGAACTTTGCACAGAACTGCAGTTTTTCAAGTTGCCTTTACTCTTCATACACCACACGACGAAGGAAGACAAAAGAGATTAAAGCGGATTCGACAGGGCGATGATAAGCAGAAGTGTTGATTCGCCTACGCCATTGATAACGATTTTGAACCATATCACCAATTGTCTTCAGTCCTTGGTTTTTAAGCACCAACTGGAGCTGGCAGTCTTCACCGTCTCAAGTGCTTAGCTCAAGCTAACTGTCAAGGGTTTCACGGATTGATTCCATCTTTTCGTTTGACCACCACTAGCTTTTTCCCAACCACATCCTGTATCAGCTAACATTTCTCGTCGAGGAAGGTGATGGCTAGGAATGCGTAACACCTGTCTTAGCTATCTCAATCCATGTGATTTCACAACCGTATCGATTAACTTCCCCTCTTTACCTTACACTCTCTATGGCTAACCTCAATATTACCCAACCTATTCTACCACCTAACATATAGATAAGGAAGGTAGACACATGTGCATGTAGAGTTGTAGGTAGGGAGGGGAAAACAATCAACGAGGTTGTGAAGTAACATCGACTGATATGGTTAGGACATGTGTTACGCATGTATGTCTAGCCTTTCATTGCCTTCCTCGACAGGCAATGCTAGGTGACATAGGATTAGATGGGAAAAGAGCTAGTGCTGGTCAAACCAAAACATGGCTTCATCAGTCAGTGAAATCCATAACAGTTAGTTTAAGCCAGACACGTAGGGAGGTGTGGACTACCAGTCTGGTTGCTGTTGTCGGGATGGTAGAAATCAATATCTGGAGGCAATTGTTGATATGGCTCAAAAGAGTTCTCAATGGCTGGTGCAGATGCATTCACTCTTTGTGATTTGTCGTATCCAAGTGTATCAAAGTACTCTATCATTGTTCTTCCATATTACTATTCTTCTACCCTCACTCACGCTGTTTATTGTCTCTCTTTTGATGAGTCTCTCTTTACTCTCTACTCTCGCTTCGTGTGCTTAATGTGGTGAGTGGAGACTCGAACTGCTGCACTTCTATGCAAAGTTCTCTGTTGAAACCAGTCTCAGTCAGTCAGTCAGACACATGTGATTGAAGACAGCCAGCCTTTCCAGGTCTTCCACTGGGTGCTAGATTTGAGTTTCAGCTTGTATGTGTGTGTTTGGCGTGAGAGGGGTGGGAGTTCTGACACTCACTACAGATTATGGGTACATCCGGATGATGAGTCCCAGAGAGGATGAAATGCGCATCGTGAATTCTACTGTTATAGTCCCCGCCGACCAAAATAACTTCATTATATTAATACTTAGATGTTGTCTAAGCATTCATACTGGGAGTTAACATGGCAACACTCAGAACGAACATTTCATTTCCAATGGTTGTGTAACCAATGTCAGCTCATGTTGAAATCCCGTAACCAATCAATCAAATCCCTACAAACCAATAGTTGAATATCGATGAGATGCTCACTGGCGACTGGCCCTATTCAGGTAGGTAGTAGTTACCTGGTGTTCTAGTAGGAAGTCGTGACCAGTAGGGTGCAGCAGGTCGGATTTGAGGACAAATACTCGCTGAAGACATAGGCTAGCGGTTGCGCTATGTCGTGAATTGGCAGAAGTTAGAATCCATTGGATCGGGTCCCAGTGGCTATGGTCTACGAGCAACCAGAAGGTCCCGGGTGCGTACTTCTGAGGCGTCCCAAACTAGGATGGGAGAAACAGCTGTCCAGTACTCCCTGGCAGATTTTCCAGTGGTTCTCGAACCAATGTCAGCTCATGATGAAATCCCCTAACTAATAATAAATCAACGAGAAGTATAAAATTCACTTAAAATTCAATCAGTGTGGCAGTTTTCTTCTTTTCTTGTTTCTTTATTTTCTCTTATCATTAGTGTGGTTCAAGGTATGACAAAGGCTACAAAACATTTTAATCGAATTAATGAACTATTAAAATCAAGTTTATTTACAAAACTACAATTGGATTATGCCAAAATGAATGCGTAAGTTATTATTATAATTATTATTACTTTTCTTTTGGTGTATATTTTGTTAAGAAGAATAAAAGGGATGTTTCTTTTTACCCCGAATGGTTTTGATGGTTTTGACTGGATATTAGATGGTAGTAAGTGACCAGTGTCCGCGTGTGTGTGTCTTCTTGGTATGTTGATGGGGCGGACTGAATTCTATTATCGGTTAAGTTTACAGTGTGTACGGGCCGCCATGCCACTAGGCGATTGCTCATCATCATGGTGCTGTGTAAATTGTTGTTGTTATTAGATGATGGGGTTGGAGGCAATCAATCGGCAGGTGCGTCGGTGGCGTAGTGGTTAGGACGCTCGCCGACCATGCACATGGTCCGCGGTTCGATCTTCGGCCGACGCACTCCTTCACCTCGCTAAGCCAGAAATAATGCTGGTAAAGAGCGAAAGTTGGGCATGAGGCTAGCAACCCCATCCTGTAAAATAAGCACTGCTACAGAAACTTCAAGCCACTAGCTTGAAGCCCTATGTTCCACTGGGGAACGTGAAGGAAAAAAAATCGACAGGAAGGAAGCCTTGTCGACACCTATGTTTCGTACTTGTTAGCTGGCACTCACTAGTCACTCAGCAAGGTGCGTGTATCTGCAATTACCTTAAAGGAACTCATATCCCCTGTGTGAGATTCGAACCAGTGTGTCACCCAGTACTGTCTGCAGTCAGAGACGCGTTACCACGGATACAGCTATTCGGGTTCGCGATTGACCTCCCTAGTGGTAACGTTTCTCACTAGAGGCAGCATTCGGAGGCATACAGGTTCGAATTTCAGACAGGGGACATGACATGGTTCCTCTTCATTCCTTCGTAATCCGAATAGGTAATAATAATAGTAATAATGATAATAATAATAATCTACTTTATTGGAAAAACAGTACTTATAATACAGAATGAAATTCTCAGCATTTGTCACCATATTGCATCTGATAACACAGCTTAAATGATGGTCACACTTATGAAAAAAATAAACAAAACCAAAAAAAATTGAGAGGAATGTGAAAATAAGAAATACAATAACAATAAAGTTTGATGTTGTAAGGGTGGAGGAAATGGTTTATTTACTAGTGCAAAGAAGGTTAGTTAGTTCATGTCTGACACTATTTCCATCACATAAAGTTCGTGCTAAATATGGTATAGTGGAATTTTTATACTTAGACGTACGTGCATAAATTCTTCTGAAAAGACTTCTTGTTTTACCTGAGGAGACAAGGTTGGAGCTGCGGGTGCTGCGGTGGTTGCTCACAGTCTGACAAAATTCCTTTAGCGAATTTGTTGCATGACATCAAGTGCCTGCCAGTGACAATGTCAACGATGTGGCCCAATGGGATACCACTCGTCCTACTGACAGTCTTCAGAGTTCTACGAAGTATGACATGGTCTTTTTTTTTTAGGCAATCCAGGAAAGAATAAGGGTGAACAGTAAAGAAGAATAGGTAAAATACATCAGTTGATAAACTGTAAGAGGAGTGGTTTGGTTATGCCTGAGTGCCTTAATTTCTTAATGTCAAAAGTCAAACGAAATATTCTTCTAGAAATCGCTAAGACATGGGAAGACCAGAATCGGTCAGAAGAAAGAATTAATCCAAGATACTCAACTTCAGACTTGGTTTCTATATCCGTATCATCGATTTTGCAACGGTCATAGGAATGAACGGCTTCATTTAACTTTCGTTTACATCGGAAACGGAAATTAACTGTCTGACATTTGGAAGGATTTAGTTTAAGACAGGCCGTTAGACGAAGACCATTTGCTAACTCCTGATAGAAAGCTATTCATCTTAGTACAGTATAGCTGGGAGTTAACAGACATTGAAATAGTTAGATCATCGGCATACTTAACAAATTCATTTCGTCATCAGAGTGAGGCAAGTCATGCAAGAAGAAAGAAAACAGAACAGAAAAGGAGAAAGAACAGTGCCTTGAGGGACACCAGTCTCAGTAAGCAATGAAGTGGAAGACTTTCCCTGACATACAGTGTACTGCTTTCTTCCTGAGAAATAAGAATGCAGCCATTTGACAACCCAACAATATCAGGCTTCAAGCTGGAAGCATTGAAGTTTCAGTAGTCATGATGTTGTTTCTCTTTTACAGAGTGAGCTTGTTAACTTCGTGCCCAAACTTCCCCCTCTTTGCCAAACTCACTGCCAGCTGGTAAAGTAGGCGAGATTTTAGAAGTGTGTTCGAATCCCGAACCGCATAAGGTGTACGTGACGAGCCTTCTAATATGCATTGATGAAATCAGAAACATAAATTACAAATAATGTGTAATCCCTACGTTTTAAACAATCTAACTTTACTCATCTGAAAAGGTTTTTATTGTTGTTTTTTATTGAAGAAAGGGATGTGTAATGACTTTAATTTGTGAAATAAGCACAGACAGAAGTAGATATGATGTAGCTTTCACGTGGATGGATTATATTGGTGTAGTTGTGTTCTCCTCTAAAAGCTGTGGCTGGTTTAAAACTATGTACTACTCATTGGTTGAGATGAGTGAGTAGTTGCGTACCACTCATCAGCCATATATAGGGGAACGAAACATCAGATGGTCGTGTTGCTTGTTTGCGTTCAAGCTCCTTATCAGCTGAGTGAGACGGCCATTCGGTGTTTTGAACACCTCAATTTGGCCAACAAATACTAGTGGTTGATATCAGTGGTATACAACCTGTTGTTCCCTCGGGTTCCGAATGGAGCATAGGAATTCAACAACACGACTCCAATTTGTTCTGTTTTCTGCTGTCCTCTGTAGCTGGTCTCACAACTAACTGCCCATAATCTCTCATCTCATTATACGATCTTTTGCGGGTCACACTCGAACTCACGCCCCAACTCGTTGTTTCCCATTCGGGTTCCCCTCGAGCGATGACCTATCATGTAATGTCATTTGACAGTTTCCTCAGCCTCTGTCCGATCCATCTCCATTTTCTTCGGAATATTTACGGAGCAATAGGTTCTTGGGTGGTTGGTTTCCAATCCTTCCTGGTCGCCTCATTCATACTCAGTATGCGTCCCTGCGTTCTATCTCCCATGTTAAGTGGTATAATAGGGTGAACAATATTGAGGTTAGGCTTTAGTCGAGTGCTAGGTAAGGAGGGGAAATCAATAGACAAGGCTGTGAAGCTACATCGACTGAGATGGTTAGGACATGTGTTACGTATACCTAGTCATCGCTTTCCTCGACAATGGGCAATGTTAGCTGATATAGGGTCAGACTGGAAAAGAGCTAGCGGCGTTCAAACGAAAACATGGCATCAGTCGTTGAAGTCCACAACAGTTAGTTTAAACCAGTCACATAGGGAGGTGTAGGTTTCCAGTGTGGTAGAAATCCTCGAGACGGTAAGAACCAATGAAGACTGGAGATAATTCGTAATGAAATCGCTCAAAATCGTTCTCAATGGCTAGCGCAGATGCATCCACTCCTTGTGACTTATAATTTCCAATGAAACTATATTGTTCTTCGTTATTACTACTCCTTTTGTCTCTATTTTTCATTTCTTCTACTTTCTTCTCTTGCTTTGTGTGCTACATGGAGTGTAGCAACTCGAACTGCTGCACATTAGTGCAAAGTTCTATGTTGAAACCAGTCAGTCAGATGTTCACTATGTAGTCAGAGAAGGCAATTGCTGATAAAAGGCTTCAGTGGCCTGTTGGAAATGCATTTCGTGACGCGAACGCCAAGTTTTTTTTACCCATAAAGAAAAACTGATTGACTTAACATTCATTTTTAAAATCCGAATTTCATTCTGTATGCTATGGAGTGTAAAAGATTTTCAAATTGATTTCAGAGTGTTGAAGGTCTCCCTTTCGCTTCCGATTCTGGCTTTGCCGTCTTCGTGCGTTCCGCCTGTAGTTGAAACGGTACTTACTAGATAAGCGAAGGAAGTAACCTCTTTCAAACTTTTTCCGTTGATAGGGATTGCTTCTAGTTGTTGTCGTTGTTGGTGGTGCGTGAGTATCTTCATCACCTTGGTTTTCTCTATGTTCTGTCTGTCTGTCTGTTTTCGACATAGAACTTTGCACATTTGTGCGGCAGTTCAAGTCGCCACAGTCCATGTAGCACAAAAAGCAAGAGGAAGAAGTAAGAGAAATGCATAATATAGTCAGTAAACAGAGGTGTGAGACAAAGGTATAGTAATAACGAAGAACAAAACAGTTTAATTGGAAATCATAAGTCACAAGGAGTGGATGTATCTACGACAGCCATTGAGAACGATTTTGAGCCATGTCATCATTTGTTTCCAACCACTGGTTTTTACCGTCTCGAGGACCCCAAGCAGTCAGGAAGTCTACACCTTCCTACGTGACTGATGTCATGTTTTCGTTTGACCACTGCTATCTCTTTTCCAGCCTGACCCTATATCAGCTAACATTTCCCGTCGAGGAAGGCGATGACTAGACTAACGTAACACATATCCTAACCATCTCAGTCGATGTAGCTTCACAGCCTCGTCGACTGATTTCCCCTCCTTACCTAACACTCGACGCCTAACCTCAATATCGCTCACCTTATTATACCACTTCACACGGGAGATAGAACACAGACACCTATGATCGAACACAGCTAATCTTTTCATGTCTTCTGCTCTCAATGGCCAGGTCTCACTTATAGCCATAAAGAAGGACGGAACGGACTTATGAGCAGTACACAGGCCCTTTGGTCGATAGCCAGTCGGATATCACGTCTACGTCAGAGACGGCGTAAACTGACATATGCGAAACTAGCCCTCTATATTCGTGTTGAGATTTTGTACTGGGTCCGAATCCTGGTAGAGGTGTCGACGAGTCCCGAGTCCCTAGTTTTCAATCCGTGGTCAAATTTGATAAGAAAGTAAATCCGTTAATCCGTTTAAATTTAATCTAAGTTATAAAATCATTCCCTCATCCAGTGGTAAATATTATTTATTTATATTTAAATTTTTGTTATAGTCCAGCTATTGAAATGGGTATCGATATTGCCTCATCATGGGATCTAAATGATGAACACATGCTAAGGTAGTATAACAATGTGCGTATGTGTGTGTGTATGCGTGTCTGTGTTTGTGTGTGTGTGTGTGGATGTCTGTGCGAATGGAAACAGAGAGCTAATAATGAAACGCCACCAAAAAAGAAACACTGTGCATAATTAATCGTGTCTCTGTGTGAATTATATAATGCTTGCAATACTTTGCCGTTTTTTCTTTTGTTTTAATCATTGCTGCTTTTAATTTGCCTTTTTTTTAAATGACCTCTCTGAGTTTCTGTGTGTGTGTTTGTGAATGGCGCGCTTATTTGTTTAAATTACTGTTTATCTGTTTGGCGGTTTTTTTGTTCGGTTGATTCTGTGTGTTGATTCAAATAACGTGTGTTATTTAACCAGACTGGGGTGGTGGTAGTTTGTTTATAAAAACACCAGTCACAAAGTGATCAGTTTAACCACGCTAATTATTTGATTTTTTTATTTCGCTTAATTTTTTTAAATTTCTTGTTTATTACTAATGCAGCACAACTGAGCTATTTTAATAACAGTTGGTGTTCTAATTGCTATTCTTTCTCTTCATTCCCTTGTGTCCCTCGTGGAACCTATAGAGTTTGAGGCTTGAAGCTGTGGTGCTGTTTTCCCACCTGGTGGGTTTACTATCGACTAGTGAGTTCACTGTGAGAGATGTGCGTCTGTCTTCCGGGAATTCAATCCAGATGTAACGAAAGGCGTAGTTAGCGAGCATTTTACCTCTGTGGTTTGGTCACATTAATGCTAAAATAATAATAGTAATTATTATTTCCTTCAATTCCTAGAGGAACATAGGGCTTCAGCTGCACGTCTCCATTGCGTTCAATTCTCTGCTAAAGTCTTCATCTGGCTCCAAGTCTGCCCATACGCTTTCATCTTCTCTTCACATGACCTCTTCCAAGTCACCCTTGCACTGACGACCAACTCGCCGCTTCTCCTTCGGGCTTGTCTAGTGATGTCACTTGATAGTTTCCTCAGAGTATGGCCAATCCCCAACCATTTCTTTCTGCATATTTGTTTCACAATCGGTTCCTTGTTGGTTCGCTCATTGCCAGAGATCCCTGTTGCTGATGTTTTCTGGCCATTTGATCTTGAGTACTGAGCGAAGACAGCTGTTGGTGAAGGTCTGTAGTTTGTTTGAGATGCTCTTTATGACGTGCAGTGCAAGTCTCTGATCCGTATAGTAAGTAGCATTGACTTCACATTGGAGTTGAAAATCCGGATCTTATTTTTGGTGCTGAGTACTGTTGACCTCCACAATGCTAAAATAAGCTTGCTCTTAAATGCTATGCAGAACAGTTCCTGAAAATACAAGTTTGGTGGCTTTATTTTATGTCGACTCTCCGTACTTGATTTTCAAATTATAGGTCATAGGTCTATGAGTCCTACTGTATCCTACGTTTACCTTGGCCTACTTTCACACGCCGACTGCAAACGTCTGGCACTTACAGCTGGATTGATGAACCTTCAGGTCTACTTGGGAGAGTGGGAGCTGGAAAATTCTCATTCCAAACAGCAGTGGCATGTTTATGGACTGCAGAATCCGGAAGAATCGAATAAAGTATGGATTTGTTGTACTCACAGGAAACTATAAGATTGTAGCTCCTAACCATTCTTAACTGCCTTCTAGGGTCAGACTTCAAGTCAGGGGCTTGGAAAGGGGTGAGGTGATTCCTTGAAGCACCACCTGCCTCTCTCTTGGCACCCGGGTAGTGTCTCAACCGTCACATGCAATGACATTGCATTTCATTTGTCTATGTATGCTGTGGTATTCAATATTCAAATGTCACTGAATTTTGATTGGTTTGCTATTAACTGACCAATCAGAACACATTGTTTTTTTGCACAGTCAACTTTGTTGTGTTATTGGTTGTATAAAATAATTATGTAAATAAATAGTTGTAGGTTGTGATTGCTTCTATTTTTCGGGAAGATTAAATATTGCCTTCTCAGTGTTGAAAAACATTCCTTCTGTCAGTAATATACTGTTGTGAGTGAATAACTAGTCAGAGAACTAGGAAGATAGTTTTTAAGGTTTCCATTTGTTTCAGGTGAAACCATGGATTGATACCAGTTAGAGAACCAGGGAGTACTGGACAGCTGTTTCGCCCTAGTTTGAGACTAATCGGCAGTATATACCCACTGGGTTTCGAATCCAGGACCTACTGGTTACAAGACAAGCTCGTAGTCCATTCAGCCACTGGGACTCGATTCAATGGTCCATGAATTTCAACCTCCCACTTCATGGGGAAATCCTGAAACCAATAAAATCCATGTAAACCGACACTTGAATATCAAACTGATGCTCACTAGTGACTGGCCCTATTCAGGTAGATGTGGTGGTCACCTGGGTTCTAGTGGGAAGTCATAACCAGTAGGGTGCAGCAAGTCGGGTATGAGGAAACATTGGCTAGCGGTCGCACTATGTCGTGAATTGGCAGAAGTTGGAATTCATGGGCTGGCCAATGGATTGGGTTCCAGTGGCTTAATGATCTACGAGCTAGACCGCCTTGTAAGTAAATAGAAGGTCTTGGTTTCGAACTCCTGTGGTGTGTGTGTGATGATAAATAGTCCCAAATCAGGACGAGGAAACAGCTGTCCACTACTTCCTAGTGGTTTTCCAGTTGTTTCTCTAACCGATGTCAGTTCATGATAAAATCCTGAAATTCTAATTCTGATGCTTGCATGCTTAGATGCATGACAGGTTGTTCATTAGAAAGCATCATGCTGTACAATTCATTTTGGAAATGTTTCTATCTCATGTATTTATAAAATAATACTGAATGCGTCTTATGCAGCGTATTTGGCATGCAAATTTTTAATACTCATTGCATAATGTTAGCGTAGGTTTTGTCAAAAACATTGAAAACAACTTAGGAGCACTTAAGGGGGTTTTCATTTCAGTAATGTGCACCATCGACCTCATCACGGAGACTATCCTACTACCCTTGGGATACAAGATAGACGCGTCAATTTTCAGCCTTTCGGCTGGAATCAAAATAGCCTGTTAGTTCGCCACTACCAACGAAAGGCATCAATAATCATTCTGATGAATTAACTTGTAGGCATTTCATTTATTTCCATTTTGACCACGGACTCATCGGTAATGCGAACCTAACACCACAGAGTCTCGGTGATGATATTGGCTGTTGCCAGTTACACTAAAATCATGAACTGGTAGAAGGTAGGAATCATGGGTTGGCCACTGATGATTTGGGTACCAATGGCTTGGACGGTGTACAAGCTTGATTTGTAACCGGAAGTTCCTGGGTTCGAATCTCAGTCGGTGGGTGCGTACTGTCGAAGAGTTTCAAACTAGTAGGACGAACTTTCTGCAGCCAAGTGGGATAGTGTTATTGAACCCTTTTAAACAGGATACGCATCGAACCATCAATTTACCTGGCTCTACCAGAACTGGTGAACTGATATATATATGTATATATATGCACACAGAAGCGATCAGATACGAGATCTTGTCCTTAAGGCTTCTACCGGAAGAACACTATTCCTCAGCGTCATTCTATAGAATGTTTTTCTCAGAGACGATGAAATTCTTCTCTTTTAAGGATATTGCAATTTTAATTTTCCCCCTGAAATCGTTTCATTTTTTATTTGGAACAAGTAGTGTCTCACTCCTCTAAAATTTTCGTTTGATATTCTTACCATTAATGAATCTCGGTGGGTATCGATTTTCGATGAAGTTTACTTCCAGAAGATCTAGTTTTCCTTCTAGGGTTTCAGGACTACAGATGTGGCATCTGGATCCATTTGCATTTCGTCTTCGTTCAACAGACACCCAACTATAGAAACTTGTTAGTTGGCCATTCCAATTGACCTTTCTAAAATTTCGTCGCGTCTTCTTGTTAGGCGATTTTAGGTTCCCTGAAAAGAGCGTCTTTTCGCTGAACTACGTGTTATTTTCATTATTTAAACATTCATATGGAATTTAAGCTTTTACCTCAATAAACCTCTATTTTTTTTCCTCCACATTCCCAGTGGAACATAGGGCTTCAAGCTAGATGCTTGAAGTTTCTTTAGCAGTGTTCATTTTAACAGGATGAGGTTGCTAGCCTCATGCCCAACCTTTCCCCTTTACCAGCTTTTTATTTCTGGCTTAGCGAGGTAAAGGAGTGTGTCGGCCGGGGATCGAACTCCGGACCATGTGCATGATCGGCGAGCGTCCTAACTGCTATGCCACCGACGCACAATAAACCTCTATAATAAAGTAATATTACATAGATTACTTGAAATGACCAGATAATATTTTCCTTGCTGGTGACTAGCACTGAAAATCCAGGATGTGTATTTCGTCCCTGTTTAGGGCTCATCACTTGTTGTACCTGAAGAAGAGGCAGCTCTCATGGCCCAGTGGACAACACTTTGGAGTTGGGTGTTTCAGTCAGGTCTCAGTGTGGGGGCGGGGGGAAAACCATCACTCACTACGAATGAAAATGCATCCAGTCGACGAGTCCCGAATTGGACGAAACACCCATCCTTGATACTCTTTGGGTAGCCAATACCAACTAAAAACCAACTTCACTCTAATCCTTGGACAGTCGTCGAGGAGTTCGTACCAACATCTGATATGTAGAAAGAGCGACCAAGCACCACCTGAGTAGAACAAAATCAATCGACGGGAAAGGTAAAATTTTTAAAAAATTAACAGCTGTCTTCCTAGTTCTATGACCAGCTATTCACCCTGTCCAGTATTCCCTGATGGTTTTCCGATGGTTTTTTATGAATGTCAGCTCATGATGAAATTCTGTAACCGCTTCACCTAAAGTTCTAAATTTATTTTGTTTTTAGATAGAAATTACCTAATACAAATGTATATATTTATAAATATCGTTTATTTACATTTTCAGTTTGACGAATAAAGATTCCCAGCATCGGAAACCATTGTTAGTTAATCAAGGTGTGAGCTTTGAAAGTTGTTCACATCCATCTAATAATGAAGGCGGTACATTGAGTCAGTTATCTAACACAGTCTCGACAGCTGCTGTACAAGTACGTGAACAGGCTGTCAATTTGACTAAAAGAGCTATGTGGACACGTAGTGCTGATATCTCTTCTACTATCAATATTCTATCATCAAATACTAATACTACTACTATTAATAATAATAATAATAGTGAGATGGTAGTAGCTGCGCCGAAATCAGCCAACAATTCAATTGAAGATAAATCAGCCTAAATGTGTTGGGATGTGCTAATTTATCGAGTTAGTCATCTGCTATTGTTGTTGTTGTAATCAAGTGTGCAATAAGTGTACATATATATGTATGCGAGACTTTCAAAATAAATTTATTATTATGATTATTATTATGAATGACTTATTCTTTGCGCTCTGTGATCTATGAGAACCTGTGCGTTCACAAGAGGCTTGTAGCATGGAGGGCATTGAAATAGAAGTCAAGCGTCAAATGTCTGTCTGGATTCAACATAGAACTTGGCACCGAAATGCAGCAGGTCCAGTGGCCACGTTCCAAATAGCACACAAAGGTGGTAGACAAGAAAATGAGTGAAGAGAATCAATAGAGTTTTGACAAGTATAAGAGTGAAACAGAATGAGTAATGGTAGAAAGGAAAATGAAAGATTACACGAGAGACTGTATACATCTGCATAAGCCATTGACAACGATTTTGAGCGATGTCACCTATTGTCTCCAGCCATTGATTCTTAGAGTCCTGAGGGCGGGCCCCAACCCGGAAGTCTGCATCTGCCTACCTGACTGACTCAGTTTAACTGTCAAGGATTTCATGGATTGATGATGTCATGTTTCCGTTTGGCCACCACTTATTCTTTTCCAACCTGCACCTATATCATCAGCTAGTAATGCCCGTCGGGGGAGGCGATGGTTAGGCATGCGCAGCACGTGACCTAGCCATCTCAATCTATGTAACTTTATAGCCTCTTCGATTGATTTTCCCTCTTTGCCCAACACTCTACACCTAACGTCAACAATACTTACCTTATTATACCACCTAACATGAGAAAGAGATCGTAGACATCTATGATCAAAAACAGTCAACCTTTTCCTGTCTTCAACTCGTATTGGCCATGTTTCAGAGCCATAGAGAAGGACGGAGCGAACTGCTGAGCAGTATACACGTCCCTTCGTTGATAGCCGGATGTCCCGCCTACGCCAGAGATGGTGTAAGTTAGCGAAAGCGTCAAATACCACTGGAATAGTTCTATCCTCTAACCTTTCTTGTTCGGTCATTGCATATCTTGTCGATTTCTAAGAAAATGTTCTGTCTAATCTGCTAGATTAATATTCAACCACTTCTACTCTCATGGTAGCAACTCCGTTGATTTGACTTAACTTTTGTTTGTATGCTTATTTTTCTAACTACTTAAAACTCTTGCGTAATTCCGTATGTGTTTTTGTTTCCATGTACACACACTCTGAGCACAACTCTTTCATCAAACTATTCACGTTATTACGTAACTCCTCTTTAACAATCGTTTGTGACAACTCATCACTTTTGTTACACTGCCCTCTTATATCAACATCCAATCCACCTGAACTTACACTAATTGTATTTTCGTTTGACAAATTTAATGTACACACACATACAAAACACCCGTATATATATTTGCGATTGTACAGCTATGAAAACGAATTCGCCGTCGAAAAGAGACTCTTCGCTGAACTACTGGTCTTCTGTCTATTAAATGTTCGAATGGAAATTTTTCATGAATTCTAGATGAATAGTTTAAGACAATTAGGAATGGCTCATCCTCTACTTTTACAATTTGTTAATTCTTGCATCTTACTTGATTGCTCCCCCCTCCCCACCTTAGTCTTTCCTGGGCTGCTCTTATCAAAAAGGACTATGGCATATTGATGAGAAGGGTATTATTAAAGACTTTCAGTAGGGCAAGTTGTTTGTATACCACTATACTGTAGTCGATAGACACTTGAACTCTTCTAAGATTATGGCCTGGCTAAATCCATACTGTCTGACTGTCGACAACACCCCCGTCTCTATTATTCACAACTACCCTCTTCCTTACATCTCATTCATTAGGTGGGACTAGAAGTCAATTATAAATGGTTATATGTTCACTCGCACACAATTAAGTACACAAATTTAAAGCAATTAGTTGTCTTCATAAATTTCGACAGCACAATAAGAAGACGTAGTTTATCTGAAATACGTGTAATGTATTGGCGCAACACATTTCGGACATTCTGATCACACAGGTACTTGTCATACACAGTTTTTATAGAAGGCATGAATAATTACAATACAGGTCAGATTGTGTACAGGTCAAGGTCACAAATAGTGGTTAGGGAGACGCAAAGGTGTGGATAAGAAAGAGGAAAAACTAAGCAAGGAAGGGGTTGAAAATATTATGAAGTAAATTGATCCTTGGTTCTAAATTGGATTACCAAGGCAGGTTTAAGGTGATAACAAATAACTTTTGGACACATAAGACAGGTTTAAGTCTTTTTATGGCTACGGCCCAACCATGTGACCCAACCTTGTTTTCTATATGGGCTTAAAGGCATTGTGGAAATCAACTTTATTATCCGTCTCTATAATGTGCTTCACTATAGATGATGTTGGACATCTATTTCCGGGTTCATTTGTGTCTGGCGATTTCATTTGTTGTTGCAGCCACACTGGAATGTGTTCTGTAGCCATAACCTGCAGAGACCTATGGGTCCTGCCTATGTACGTGTCTCCACACATACATGTAAAGTGATAAACACAGTGGGATGTGACACTATCGTTTTGGGTAATGTGAGGGTTTACAGGACAGCATAGTTCTCGTTTTCTCTATGAAGATAAGTTTAGCTGCATAATAGGTTCCATAATAGGTTCCCCGGCCGACGCACTCCTTTACCTCGCTAAGCCAGAAATAATACTGGTGAAGAGGAAAGGTTGGGCATGAGGCTAGCAACTCCATCCTGTAAAATGAACACTGCTACAGAAACTTCAAGCCACTAGCTTGAGGCCCTATGTTCCACTGGGGAACGTGAAAGGATAAAAAAAAAAAAATAGGTTCCATTAATTGCGGCCTTGAGTCTTTGTCTAGTGACCAGACTTTGTTGATCCCCTCTGAACTGCAAGGATTTGTAAACATCCTTTTTGGGATCTGATTGGATTGATAGAGCTCTATGGTTGACACTTCCGTAATGCCTAATAAATCTGAGTGGGTAATTGTTATCTAACAATACTTCAGTGAGGTGTTGTCTTTCTTCTTCAATTGTATTGACAATACATGTACGGTGAATGCGCTTGAACAAACACTTAATCAAAGCCTTTTTATACTGTAGTGGACAGAAACTATGATAATTTAGATACTATCCCGTCCATATGCACTTTCTGTAGACAGATTGTTTTACTGACCCATCTTCTCGGCGAGTTATGAGTACATTTAAAAATGGCAAGCAATCATTATTCTCTTTAAAGTGCAAAAACTCAACGATAATCTAATTGTCCCTTCCGCGTTCTATGTGATAGAGACACTCACTGCTAAGCGTTATTAATGAAATCTGTCTGATTCGTAGTGTGTCCATCAGGCGAAATCCACATTGCTTTGTGTATATCTTTATGCTTGTACATGCTGCCTCCGATCACCAAATCATTGAAAGCACAAAAGTGTGCGGAGAGTACTCCGTTCTCATTCATCTCTCAGAGGGCCTCTCAACCCATTACAAGTTCTCTTCCTGTTTGTGCAGAATAATGTGGTACCATCATTTATTTCGTAGGCTTCTCATCAGCTGCTTACAGCCTAAATACATAATGAGGTTTGCGTACAGAAAAGTTTTAACATACTTGCAAATTTTTTACATGTTGCCAGTTGACAAAAAGTTCCACAGTAAGTGAACAGTGCTCAGAAAATTGCGCTTATATAGTTTTTACACATGTAGTTCAAGTTTAAACAAAATAGATGTATGCATAAAATGGTAAAGGAGTTACGTAATAAAGACGAAATATGAGTTAGATACAGAGTGACTAAGAAATTAGGTAACAATGTACTGAGTTCAACTCAAATCATAGAAACAAGAGACAAGCAAAATTACAGAATATAAAAGGGGGTGAGGTTAAAGACAAAGATTACGTAATCAGATGAGAGAATAAAGACATTCAGTTACCAGGGCAAAGAGAGATTAATAACTGCTTCTTTCTGAACACATAAATCTGGTTTCAAGCGTTTGATAGAGATTGCTTCGGCAAACTTGAGGAGAATGGAACTCCTTTGTCTATTGATAATTTTAAAGGATTTCTCGATTTCTACCTCATGACCCGTGTCGAGAAGATGTCTAGTGATAGCGCTGCTATAAGAGTTTGTTCCCTTGAGACGTAGGCTTCTTGGCACATGTTCAGAAAATCGGAGGTGTGCCCTTCTTTCTGTTCTCCCAATGTAACTGCTCCCGCAGATACACGTAAATTTGTATACACAGTTGGAGTTAACATGAGAAGGGTATCTATCGACTTTTGACTGCACCAAAGAGCATGTTGTTCGGTGGACGGGAACCAACTTAGCTGCAGGATAGGCTCTGGCTAGTGATGTTCTCAGTCTTCTGTTGACCATTTCTGCAATGTTTTCACCTTTAAAATCTAGTTGAATGAAGACAGGCTTTTTTTCAACTGTGATTTGTTTGGTATTTGAGTCTTCACATCTTCCATATTTGTTTATGAATCTTTGAGGGTAACCGTTATTTTTCAGCACCTTTTCGAGGAACATAAATTCTTCCTCTAGTTTCTCTGTAGAGCATATTCTCCTTGCTCTATAGTACAGAGTCTTGACTAGTGCTCGTTTATAGCTATTTGGACAAAAACTATTAAAATGTAAGTATTGTCCATTCCATGTAGGTTTTCGGTAAATTGACCTCTGGAGATTACCATCTTCTAGGCGTTGCATGGCGATGTCAAGGAAATGGAACTTCCCGTCATTTTCATGTTCCATGGTAAATACAATATTTGTATGTGCTTTGTTGAATAGGCTGAGTAGGTAGGAGGCATGACTGTCGTTTTTGCATACTACAAATGTGTCATCGACATATCGACAATAGGAAGTCGTTTGATCGATTGCATGCTTCAACTTTGTTTTCTCAAGGTTTGACATGAAGATATCTGCTAGAACAGGGCTAAGTGGGCTGCCCATGGCTACGCCATCTATTTGTCGGTAAAGAGTGTTATCAAACTGGAATTGTACATCCATGGTACACATTAGCAGTAGGCGTTTGAATTCTGACTCTGGTAGTGGAAGTAGATCAGAATGTTGACAAATGATTTCAATGGTTTCATTGATTGGGATCATTGTGAACAAGGAGGTTGCATCAAATGAGACCATGAACTTA